CAGACCTTGATTTCCACTTAAAAATTGGTTAGACTTGAAAGATGAATTCAGAAATACCAGGAGAAAAATTTATAAGCGCCACCAACTCCAAAGTTTTGAGCTGCTGTTCCATCCTATTTTTCCCCTCATGGAAAGTTCTTGGAGATCTGTTTGAAGTGGCTGTGAGGCATACAGGACCACGTACAGGACATCAGTGCACATGGTCAAGGCGCAGTGCAAGGGGCTGTCTCAAAACGAGGTGCTTTGTGTAGGGACTTTTGTAGGTTGAAGCGTGATGCGTTCTTTTGTCGTTTTGTAAGGTCCAGCTGCTGTGACCTTCCAGTTTAGTTCTGAGTGATACAAAGACTATTAAGGCTGATTCCTCTAACATTTGCATCAGCCACGATATTGCCACACCAAAGGGTGGCTCATCACACTTCTGCCAAGGGCTGTTTCGATGCCCTTGGGGTGAGATGGGTATCAGGGAACAGGAGGGAGAGAAATTGGTGAGAGGCTCAGCAGAAGCAAGGTTGTGCAAAGCAGTGTGGCTTTCACATGGTTCTTAACAAAAAGGCATTGATTGGAGGTTTGCTGTTGTGTCAGAGCTCACTAGTGCCTGGAGATGATTTCCAGAGCTTTCTATATGGGGGAGCAAGAACCAGATTTGCAAGTGTGGGAGCCTCAGTGTAACAGCACATCCTGGGCTTTTAGGAGAAAGGGTTTTCAGGTTCAAGAGCCACCAGCTGCCACTTAGTCTGCTCCCTCCCCAGTGCCCCTCACACCCAAGGAGTCCAGCCCTTGCTTCCCAGCCCACTGCCAGTGCCCTGCAGCACCGTGAGTTCTGCACAGTGCCCCCAAGGTTTTGCATGACCTAGTAAATATCTGGGTTTGGGATCGTGGGGAAAGGCATCAACACAAACCACTTCAAGGTGGAGGAGTAGGATCTCAGAGGTCTCCACTAATGAGGTCTTGGCACCAACATGTCTTTGGCATGCAGCTGGGCCTTTTTTACTGCTTTTGGTCCTTAACAAAAAATAACACCAAAAAACTAATGGGTAAAACACAACTCAGCAAGCTTCAGCCTATACAGCTAATCCTTCCCCTTGTGCTGGCTGCCCCCTGGGAGGTGTCAGGGTGGATCGGTGGGCACTGGGAGATCTGGCATAGGAACTGCAAATGGCGGGATGCATCCCAAGCCTCTTCTCTGCCGTACTGACCACACAGATCATTTAGCAAAGAAAAAGCAAGGCAAACCCCAGTGCTGCACATGCACACACACATCCTGCTTAATATGTTCAAGCCTCTCCAGAGGCTTATTAGTGATTTTATTTTCTCCTCCTCTCCCAGTCTTGCACGCTCATTGCCATGAATTATCTATGCATTTGCCCTGATGAATTATTGAGTGTAACGGGGCGAGGGAACACCCGCCATCTCAGCTCAGTCACCTTGCAAACAAATGCTCCCCAGAACATGATGGCAGCTAGTTTGCCCTCTGGCTTCTGATTTAGGATGGGGAGCATAGGAACCTGATCCAGCGATTTGCAAAACCCCTTTACTGCATCTGTTCCCCTTCCTCATCATTGCTGTTGAGGTGTGGGTGTTACTGCTGTGGTACGGAGCAGAGCAATGGGTGCGTTATTTCCCTGATGAGAGGCTTGGAAGAGCAGAACATAAAAGAGTTTACCCTGTCTTGCAAAAGAGCCGTGAGTTATTCAGTCACTTGGAAAGGAAACACGATTTCCGCACAGTGTTTGGGGTTTTTTGGGGTATTTTTGCTTGTTTTGTTTTGTTATTTCTTCTGCTGGTTTTTTCCCCCCTTCTCCCCTGAAGCCTCTAGAAAGTTTGGAATGTGTTTTTGTTAAAGCCGCTACGTGTAGGGGCCTGAATCCCAGCTTTGGCAGCATTTTGTTGTTGGCAAGCAGTCCTCAGCTGGCACTGGCTTTTTCCCTAGCCAAAAGTCTGACTCTTTACACCTGGGCAGAAGAGGGTTCTGCAGGACCATTCTGGGGTCTGATTCAGGGTCAGGTGTCTCAGCACCAAAGTCTGCTTTTTCTTTGTGTCCAAATACAGGCTGCAGTGACACATGGATCTCATGGCAGGGGTAGGGTAGAAGGGGTAGGGTAGAACTGGGAACTGCTACAGCCACTCAAGATCAAGAAAAATCACTTGACTTTTAAAAGGGTCATTCATTGATTTGCAGGAAAATCATAGCATAAAGAAAAGGCATATTAATGATGAAGTGAGGGATTGGATTGATCTCTCTCTTGTGATATATATCACATTCTCTGCCAGGTTGGCTGACAATATCCTCATTTTAGGGGCACATCTTAGGTGCCCATCCTTGGGCAGTGGTGGCCTTCAGCCTGGCATAGCCTTCTGCGTGCAATGCTCATCCGCACACCCCACTAGGGAGAGAGAGAGACAGGGCTGTCCTCCCAGCTGCCCTGCAAGGGCGATTCCGAGGAGAAGCCGGTGGCTTTCCCTGCTCTCCTCTCTGGGGTTTGGCTCATCTCTTGCTTTTCTGGCACTGCGAGGAGGCGCTGGGCCACGACTTCCTGCTGTCGCGAACGAGGCCTCTTTTATTGGGATGTCGAAAGCCTGGTTCAAAGGGAACCGCTGAGGCCTGTGGGGGGTCAGGGAGCTTGTGTGGGAGCGGAGCCAGCTATGCCATCGCCCCAGCCCCAGGCGGGCTCTGCTCCAGGGCATGGGCCCTTCATGAAAGAGGTGGGGACCAGTGCTGATGAATCCGCTCTCCTCCAGCCTTGGGAGAAAGAGGGAGTGCTGAGCACACCTACAGCCAGGCAGCCGTGAGATAGGCGGCAGGTTGTTCCCAGGGCCTTTGCTACGTGATTGCTTTTGCTCTCCTGCAAGCTCCCACATGCTTTGTGAGGCTCTAAAGACTTCAGAGCCAGACTGCTTGGCAAAGCTGTTGCTCACCTCCGCAGGTGTGGGCAATTCTGCAAGAGGCTCTCACCTCCAGGGTAGAAGGAGCAGCATATGCTGCAGAGCAGTGTTGGCGACATCTCCCCCCTCCCCATCCACCCATTCTTGCCTCAAATCCCAGCATAGCTCCGCACCCAGTGCTCTGATTTCATCAGGAAGGCCATTGTGGGCCATGGGCTCCCACAGGGCACCGCCCAGAGTGGTGTGAGAAAAGTCTTTCCCTGTGTCTTACTGCTGGACATCCCTCTCCAGTAGGCCAGTGTCTCTGGTTGGCATGGAGAAACACGGTCCAGCTGTGATGTTCATCAGAGCAGCAACATCCCTTCCCTCTGGTTTCTGGAGGGACATGCATGGGAAAAATGGCCCTGGCTACACTGGGAGGGGGAACGTGCAGCCCTGCCAGCTCAGCTCACAGCCTCTAAGGACTCGATGGCTTCATACATGCAGGCACATGAGGGCACCAGTGCTTTGCTGTGGCTATAAGCAGGGCTGAAAAACATTCCTCAGCACCCAGCTGCAATGCTAGGGTGTGGGACAAACCAGCGCTTGACTCGGGGAAGGGGGCAAGTTCACACAAAGCTCTAGAGACTGAGTTTCGGTCTTAACTGCTGATGACTGTGGTCAGTTGATGGCGTCTCATGGCCAGGCTGGATTGTTGAGGCTTGTCCTCAGGGTCACAGGCTTGGCACGAGGGAAGGAGAAGGGGAGAAAGAAGAGGCTTAGATGAGATATGGGGACTGAGATCAGGCTGAGTACAGCAGGCATGGAGTGAGGGGGCAACACGGGAGCATGCCAAGAGAACGGTAAAGGTGGTGTTTGTGGGTGAGAAGACTTTTGTATGCCTGCACTTGTGTGTGTGTGTGAAACTGCGGGAAGGAGACTCTTGCTCAGGTTCGCGTGTAGAAGTCACAGGGCACATCTGCCAGGGGTCTGTGGCGGCTAAGACTGAGGAGTTCATTTTGGCCTTGTACGGGGAGCCCATTGGTCCCCTGGAAGACTAGGGTAGGGGTGACATTTCAGAAATGCTCTGTCCCCTCGGTTAGAAGATGCTGTCCAGTTTCTCTTGCTATGCAGTTTTTCTTTCCCCAGCCTCTCTCTCTCTCATTACCCTTTCATGTTCCTTACTCTTTGTACATCTTTCTTTTTTTATTACCCCTTTCTTTCCTTTACTCTCAGTCTCCCAGAATACATCCAATTTCGGATTCTGCCAGAAGCAGTGAGCAAAACCCACTTTTCTTGTTCTTACCACCTTGCTTCTCTATTGTATTTATCATACAAATGCTGGCTGTATAATTACCAGAGCATTATCTTTTTAAAGACACAGTGGCAGCCAAAGATGAATTTCAGGGTCAGTCTGGTGGGAGACATTTTTCTCCAGCTGTCAGAGGAGGAATCAACTGAGATGGAATAGCAGTCATGAACACCAGCCACCACTTTTCCCAAGCACCTTTCATCTTTACTCTGCAGAATCAAGACGGAAGGTTCCTAAGTGCAGCTACTTCTGAGGTTCAAGAAAGGCCACAGAAACAATCTAGATCGTGCAGGTAGATTGTGCAAGGTATATAGGCGCTGTTATAAATCTGTTCTTATATGGGAAGTACTGCTACTCTGAAAATCATGGCTGAGTCTTTGCAGCTTATTTAGTTACTGATGCATTTCCAGTAGGATTAAATGGATGTCTGAGTGTGTGTTAGCGTATGTTAGGATATCCTATGCTGATAAATATCAGTGCTTTCATGTGCCTCCAGATATGCATGCTCTGTATATTTACAATAACTGATTTAATGTCATCCAAAGTTGAAGACAAAACGAAGGAAAGTATTATTGATCCAATCTTGTGCCTTTTGGTGATCGTGAGCCTTCGGTTGGCTGCAGAGCGTTAGGGCTGGTCATAGTGAAGTGTGAACACCAATTGTGGGAAGGAAGGAGTTTATGAACAGGAACGAAGCTGCAGAGGCTGCAGGTGGATGGATGCAGATAGTTGCCGAAGGTACTGAATGCCTGTAGCCATAGATTGTTCTTGTATCAGCCATGCCAAGAAGCAGCAAATGGAATAAATAAAGGAGTTCATGGGCCTGATGTCCAAGAACTGTTCTTTTTATCTCTTTCTGAGAAGTACATGTATATTCATGTCTTTCCATTTTATTGCAGGGCTGCAAGCTCAGATTGTCTTAGTCAATGACACAGTCTCGGGGTTTATCGGGACAGATGTGGTCCTGCACTGCAGCTTCACCAATCCACTCCCCAATGTGAAGATCACGCAGGTCACGTGGCAGAAAGCCACCAATGGCTCCAAGCAGAATGTGGCCATCTACAACCCTGCCATGGGAGTCTCCATCCTCTCTCCCTACAAAGAGCGGGTGACTTTCCGGAATCCTTCCTTCAAAGATGGCACCATTCAGCTCTCTCGGCTAGAGCTGGAGGATGAAGGAGTTTACATCTGTGAGTTTGCTACCTTCCCAACTGGCAACCGGGAAAGTCAACTGAACCTCACTGTGCTGGGTAAGATACTGGACAAGCTTTGTAGCGTGAACCATTGCCTCCAGTTAAACAGATCTGGGGGAACCTGAGCCTCATGTCCTGGGAGCGCAGGGCAAAGGTGAATCTTGGGTGTAAATTTTACCTATGGCAATCTTTCAAGTTGACTGTAAAGACGTGAAGAGCAGGGAACCCAGGGTAGGTGGTTCACTGAGCTATCACAGGAACACCTCTTCCTCTTTCCAGGCCTCAGTTTCCCTGTCTCTTAATGCAGGTGCAATAACAGTGACCTGTTCCCTAAGGGGAGTGGTGATTTTTAATGAGCTGGTGGCTGTCAAGTGAACAGAGAGAAAAGACAACAGAGACATCCAAAGCACAAGTAGAGCTTGTCCATGGAGCTTAGGGTTGTGAGTGAATAAACCCCACCCAAGCTCTACATGATTCATTTGCTCTCCAATTTCAGTTTCTCATTCTAACATAGGGCGGAAAACCCATGGCAGGAAAGGATTGACTTTCCATCATGTATCTGTGCATTTCCACCATTCTTTTCCCAGAGTAGGTTCCTGGCAATTTGCAGCAGTTCTGGGTTCACCACAAGGTCTGTCACAGGCTCAGTGGTGCTAGCTGTCTCTTGGGTTGTAGTAGAGAGGGTAGCATTGCTTTTCTAACCATCCTTTTGTACCATTTTCTTCTCCTTCTTGTCCTTTTTGCAATTTCTTGCAGCAAAGCCTACAAATCGGATGGAGGGCACCAAGCGGCCACTTATTGCTAAGTCTGGCAGGACAGAAAAGATCCTGGTAGCTACCTGCACCTCCTCTAATGGGAAGCCCCCCAGCACTGTCACTTGGGACACCAAGCTCAAAGGGGAAGCAGAGTTTCAGGAGATCCGGAATAGCAATGGCACCATCACAGTGATCAGCCGGTAC